TCCTCCTCCATACAAACAGCAGCAAACTCTCCCGCAGATTCCACCCTATCTTTTGTCCTTGTAAATCTAGTAGGGATCACGATGACAAGAAAGTTCAAAGGAGTTAGAGATTAAATGCAAGACATTCAAGCAATAAACAGAGGAGAGAGAGTCCAGGAAAGGATAAGAGGAAGAGAAAGAATGAACACAGAGCCAGCCTGCAGCTGCATCTGACGCCCGCCATTACTGAAGGGAGGCTTCTTTTTGATCATGCCACTGCTAACCTTTTGTTTATTTACTCTATTGGGCCCATCCAACTCTGAGGTTTCTGTGTTCATCTGATAAGTAAGTCATTACATTCTTTCTGCTCGCTACCTTCCATCACCATGCATCAAGTCAGGAAGCAGAGATGAATGGACCCCAACTCTGACAAGAACTAGATCACAAGGGGATTTTAGTTTGGGGAAACAAAGAATGGAATGCCTGCTGCTTACCGCAATTTATCATTATTTACCTTGTATTCTTGTTTAAGCAGATATCCTTTTGCCTTTCTCTAATGTCATGTGTATAATGTTGGTTGGTTGGCAAAGAATCAGAGGAAAATGAGGGCTTGCAAGCTGACCTATGTCTTGCCAGTGGACTCTGAATGACTCTGGAAGACAGAGTAAGGTTGATGACTTTGCACAGCCCTGCCTTGCTTAAATCCAATTCACTTGCAAGTCAAGACATCCCCCTCCTGACATCATTGGTCCTCTCTGAGAATGAAGGACAAAGGACAACAACAGGGTGCCAGTTCAAACATATAATGGAACTGAATAGGTCCTAAGAACTTGAATGTTGCAGTAGGGTACCACGTAACAAAAGAAATTTCTTATTTGACTATTTCCCTTCTCTAAGCCTTTACTCACACCATTCTCCCAATTCCATAATGCCTTTCCTATTCCTTCCAGCCCATCTCCAGCCATCGAAATTCTTCCTGGCCATCAATGCCAAATTCAAGAATCACATCCTCTTTGGAAGAATTTGCCTGACCCCAACCCCGATGGAAATGATCTCTCCCATCTCTAATTTCTCATAGTCCTTTCTCTGCACTTTTCACATTCTACCTTGTTTTATATTTATATATAAAACTATCATATCTTCCTATATTATAGATTGTAAATTCTTTATAGACAGGGATTGTGTTGTTTCATTTTTATAGCTTTAGCATAGTGTTTAATATCTAGTAGACATTTAATAAATATTTGCTGATTTGTATTTAATTGAATTCATTTGAAAAAAAAATGCAGTATCTGCCTGTACTCTCTTCTTCCTGCCCCTATTGTATTAACCTGACAGATTAGCCTCATTAGTGATCTGGTTTGAATTACAAGGTTCTGGAAATGAGTACATTAGAAATTTACAAGGCTAGAACTGTTTACTGAAGTATACACAGAATCAGGTAGAAATGAGCAGTGCCACGGTCCATTGTAATACCCCTAAAAGGTAAGCCCCATTCAGCCTAGCTGGGCCCAAGCCTCACCTTCCTGTACTCTGAGACATGCTACAGGTCTCACTAATTATCAAAAGTACATGGTAACAAAAATAATACTGCCCCATTCCCAAGCTACCCCAAGATCCTCTAAGATTGAGTTTTGTATTCCTCAAGAGGTAGATATAAAAATGTTGACATCAGTAGGAAAATGTCTATTGGATTAAATTTCATTAAATTTGTCCCTGGGATTCATTTCTAAAGGGGCAGAGGAAAAAAGCTGAGCCTGTTTTCAAATGGAAGCCTCCAGAGCTGGCTTTGTATAAGGCATTTACAAAAGGCAGGTGAAGGCAGTAAGTGGGGAAAACTAAGTCCTGGGAAGTGGAAACCTAAGCAGAAAAGTAAAATTCAAGACATAAACACATGATCATACAAGCAGTCATAACATCAATACAGAATTTTGGACTTTGGGACAATTTATAGCTCAGTAATTCAACTATTGTCCTTCACAACTGCTTTGGTTTGACAAGGGGATGATTTATAGCAACTGGATGGCAAGCAAACTCTAGGCCAAGTTTCTCCAAGGCGAGTATGGTAAGCAAACATACTCAGCACCTCTAACCTTCAAGATCTCTAATATCGTAAGATTCTGCCTTTGTACATAAGCATACCTTTGTTTCTACTTGTATTCAGTGAGACTCACAAAGAAACATAACCAACTTATCACAGTCAGGTTGAGGCACGGTTTGCTTTGTCTACTTTCTGCATGTTAGTTCTGCCTCAGACATACTGAGACCTAGGAAAGACCTTAGCTTAAAAAGGCCAGGGTCTCCCACTGCATCTAGGCCCATTGCCAGTTGTCCTGACCTATGATTTGCCAGTGGACTCTGAATGACTCTGGAAGAGAGAGTAAGGTTGATGACTTTGCACAGTCCTGCCTCGCTTAAATCCAATTCACTTGCAAGTCAAGACATCCCCCTCCTGACATCATTGGTCCTCTTTGAGAATGAAGGACAAAGGACAACAACAGGGTGCCAATTCAATTCATCCCTGAAGATACACCTCCCAGGTCTGTCAGTCACACCACAATCACAACAGTACAGAAATCTACTTGGCCTCTGTGAGGCTATGCCTGAAGGGTCTCTCCAATTCTGAGATATTACCTTCATTGCCCTCCTTTGAGAGCTATGCCTTGGGGCTTTGGGTCATCTCCATTGGTTGAGGAGGCAAAAAAGAGGGTTGGCCTGACCAGTAGTTAATCTTGCAGGTTATCTCATACAATACAAATACAGGTCCCATATCTGTAAGGGATTTTTTATCTTATATGTACATAGAGAGTAGGAGTTTTTAACCTAAAATCTACAGGCCTCTGAGAAGTCACTGGATAGATTTCAGCAAGTTCATAAACTAGGATGGGAAAAAAAAGTTACATCTTTATTTCCACTAACCTCTAATCGAAATTTAGCATTTCTTTCAACTATTTAAAACCACTATTCTGAATTGGGGTCCATAGACTTTACTAGATGTCCAAAAGGGTCTATGATACACACCATGAAAGGTTTAAGAATGTATATTCTATGCTATGGGCCACTTCATATTGAGGTCTTTTACAAAGTTGAGGAATGTAGCAAACAAAATTCTCATACTATATTGTATTTGATCATGTATAAACATTCCTTTCTTTACCTCAAATCTCCTATACTTCTTGCTGCTCTATCACACACAAGGTTGGCTTAACAATTATTTAAAACCTCTGTTCATATCTATGAAGTAAATCTATGCAATAGGGCCAGGATTTGTAACAATTCTGCACTTTTGAAATGCCTAGTGCTTATGCCGTCAGTTAAAAAACAGATGTCTCTAACAATGGGTTAGGGTTTTAGCTTCCGCTGTACTAAAAAAAAAATGTTCCTCTCCCTTAAGCACTCTCATGCCCTCCTGTCCCAAATAAAGGACACCACACAACTTAAAGACAAGATCAATCACAAGTTTCTAATAAAATTAATATTAAATATCCAGCAAATATAGCCTTCCAACAATATTTTGAAACACACAAATCAGTAGAAGTAGGGCAGGGGCTGGGTAGGGTTTTCTCTCTGCACTCCTGTTTGGGGAATGAGTTGTACACCATAGAGACACAATTTTTGACTTGTCCATACAGAGGTCACTTCTCAGGATTCGGGGGGGGGGGGAGGGAGAATAAAAAAGAACTTCAGTGCTTTGGTTTCTCTTCACATCCCATCACCTTGTGAAAAACTCTACTCCTCTCCCTTTCCTCTTCAAAAACCAATGTCTTGTTAGTTTCATGTCTTCCCAAACTGGGAAGAACTACAAATCCCAGAGGGTTTTGCAATCCATCAGAAAGACTTAGGTGGTTACATTTGTTCAGGCTTTGTTTTTCTTCCAGTGCAATCTTCTCTCTCTCTCTCTCTCTCTCTCTCTCTCTCTCTCTCTCTCTCTCTCTCTCTCCCTCTCTCAGTCTGTCTCTCTCTCTCTTTCTTTTTTTTTAAAGAACCCTGAATCAGTTCTGAGTTTACAGATTCCATCGAAAAAGCTAGGCTGCACTGTATACACTTAAATCTCAAAAGAAAGGCCTATTGGATTTTTAAATACTTTTGGTGTTTGGCTAAAAAAAAAACAATATTATTTACAATCCTAAATTTCTACATGGTTAAGTTAGTTTCTATATAACCAGTTCCTGGAGTTAGACAAGGATAGGCACCTTCCCAATTTCAACATATTTTTAGATTTCATACACAGATGCTAAATCATTTTGCAATTGTGACAATTTGTTGTTGTTTTATTTTATAACATTTTTCTGTTCTCATATTTATCTTCTGCATCCCACCTTATCTTTCAAAAAGCTCTAGTTTTTTTTTCCAAATTAAAATGAATTATGATTAACAACGTTTTGAGAATTTAGCAACAATAAGATATGTATGTCATACAAAAAAGGTATTTCCACATAGATTGGCTTAAAGGTGAAATAGATAACTCTGGAATCTAACCCACTCCCCTCTAAGAGATTTGGATTTCCTCCTTGAGAGGAACAGAAGGGCAGTGACAAGGGAGCTTAGTCTTTTCTGACCTCTCTATAAGAGGAGTATTGGGCTAGAATTATATATCTGCTCTCTCAAATATTATTGATCTAGGAGCATGATGGATCCCAAACAAATGTCACTTTCCCCAGTTATTCATAAGGGGGAAGATACCTTAACTTACACTAAGCCTCCTCAACCCTTCTAAGAAAGATTAAAGAACTTGTTCAAGTTCAGACAGATAGAGACTGCATCAGAGTTTGAGCTCAGGTCTTCTAACTCCCAATCCATTGTTCCACCAAATCCAGCTTCCTGTGGATTGGCAGTACGAAAGCTTAGGTTCAAATTCCACCTCTGGTCTTTTTAACATTCCCTTTTTTTTTTAAACTAAGCACTCTTCCAGGTGTACACCCTGTGTACATATTATTTGCCACTAGATGGGGATATAGTGAAACTTTCCATTTGCTGTCAAAAGAAACCGAAAGCAAAAATTGGTCAAGTTTTCCTTTCATTTCTGAAGTAAAACAGAACATTGAACCATAGCAGATCTAGCTGTTTTCAGGAAGTGACTGGTCAGAGAAGAATATCGCCATGGTTTAAAAGGTCAGTTTTGTAAAATAATGGTTCATCGATTCTATTCAAGAGAGTAACCAAGACAAACTGACCTAAAGGAAGAAACTGGGTGTTCTTAGCTAAGAGAGAAGACGAAGTGGGATATGATAGCTGGTTTTGGATCTGGGGAACTAGCAAATGGAAGAAGAATTAAACTGCTTATCTTGACCTCAGCAGAATAGGGAGTAAAGGATAGAAATTGCAACAATTTAGGCTTGATGTCAAGAAAAACTTCCTAACAATTAGAATTTCCAAATGCGAATTGCGCTGCCTTGGGGGTTAATGAGCTCTTTATCATGGAAGATTCTCAGGGAAGGCTGAATGACCACTTGGGGTTTCATGTAGAGGGGAGTCCTGTCCCAGTGGCAGGCGAGAGTTTGAAAGTAAGTTAGGCCAAGGCATATGCCGAAAGAAGGAGAAGCCAGTTATGGAAAGGAAACCAAAAGATAAGATGCCTTCAGGAGAAATATAGTTTTCAATAGAGACCAGAAGGTAGAAAGCATGAGATCTAGGATGAGGGAGAATTTCTTTTTTTTTTCTTTTTTTCTTTCTTGGATAATTTATTTATTTTTAGTTTTTAACATTCACTTCCATAAGATTTTGAGTTTTAAATTTTCTCCCCTCCCACTTCTTCCCACCCCCCCCAAGATGGTGTACAATCGGAATATAGGCTCTACATGTACATTCATGTTAGGCATATTTTCCCATTAGAACTAATGGGAGGAACCATGAGAATGAAGCAATAAAACAAAACAACAAAGGAAAAGGAGAGCAAATAGTATGCTTCCATCTTCATTCAGACACCATATTTCTTTCTCTGGGTTTGGATAGTATTTCCCCTCTTGAGTCTTTTGGAGTTATCTTAGATTCTTGCATTGCAGTAAAGAGCCAAATCTATCAAAGTCAGTTATCCTATAATGCAGCTGTTACTGTGTACAATGTTCTCCTGATTCTGCTCACTTCATTTTGCATCAGTTCATGTAAGTCTCTCCAAGTTTTTTTAAAGTCTGCTTACTCATAATTTCTTATAGCACAATAGTATTAAATTATATTCATATACCACAATTTGTCCAGCCATTCCCCAATTGATAGATATCCTCTCAATTTCCAATTTCTTGCCACCACAAAAAAAGCTGCTATAAATATTTTTGTATATGTGGGGTTTTTTCCTGTTTTTATGATCTCTTTGGGATATAGACCTAAAAGTGGTATTGCTGGGTCAAAGGATATACACAATTTTATAACCCTTTGGGCATAGTTCCAAATTGCTCTCCAGGATAGTTGGATCATTTCACAACTCTACCAACAATGTATTAGTGTTCTAATTTTCCCACATCTTCTCCAACATTTATCATTGTCCTGTTTTGTCATGTTAGCCAATCTGGTAGGTGTGATGTAATATCCCAGAGTCGTTTTGATTTGCATTTCTCTAATCAACAGTGATTTAGAACATTTTTTCATATGACTATAGATAGCTTTAGTTTCTTCCTCTGAAAACTGCCTGTTCATATCCTTTGACTATCAATTGGGGAATGACTTGTATTCTTATAAATTTGACTCAATTCTCTATACATTTTAGAGATGAGGCCTTCATCAGAGACACTGATTGTAAAAATCCTTTCCCAGTTTTCTGCTTCTCTCTTAATCTTGGATGCATTGGCTTTATTTATGCAAAAACTTTTCAATTTAATGTAATCAAAATTGTCCATTTTGCATTTCATAACGTTCTCTATCTCCTGTCTGGTCACAAATTCTTCCCTTCTCCACCAATCTGAAAGGTAAACTATTCCTCGCTCTTTTAGTTTGCTTACAGTACCAGTCTTTATATCTAAATCATGTACCCATTTTGACTTTATCTTGGTATAGGGTGTAAGATGTTAGTCTACGCCCAGTTTCTGCCATGCATTTTTTGAGTTTTCCCAGCAGTTTTTGCTGAATAGTGACTTTTTTTATCCCAGAAGCTGGAGTCTTTGGATTTATCAAATAGCAGATTAGTATAGTCATTGACTGTTGTGTCTTGCATACCACCTATTCCACTGATCCACCACTCTATTTCTTGGCCAGTACCAATTAGTTTTGATGATTGCTGCTTTATAATACAATTTAAGATCGGCCACCTTCCCTTGCATTTCTTTTCATTATTTCCCTTGATATTCTGGACTTTTGTTCTTCCAGATGAACTTTGTTATTTTGTTTTTTCTAGCTCTATAAAATAATTTTTTGCTAGTTTGATTCATATGGCACTGAATAAGTAAATTAATTTAGGTAGAATTGTCACTTTTATTATATTAGCTCGGCCTACCCATGAGCAACTAATGTTTTTCCAATTATTTAGATCTAACTTTATTTGTATGAAAAGTGTTTTGTAATTGTGTTGATATAGATCCTGGTTTTGTTTTGGCAGGTAGATTCCCAAATATTTTATAGTGTCTACAGTAATTTTAAATGGAATTTCTCTTTCTATCTCTTGCTGCTGTGTTTTGTTGGTAATATATAGAAATTCCAATGATTTGTGTGGGCTTATTTAATATCCTGCAACTTTGCTAAGTTTGTTTATTATTTCAAATAATCTTTTACTTGATTCTCTATGGTTCTCTAAATATACCATTATATCATCTGCAAAGAATTATAGCTTTGTTTCTTCTTTGCCTATTCTAATTCTTTCAATTTCTTTTCCTTCTCTAATTGCTACAACTAACATTTCTAGCACAATATTGAATAATAGTGGTGATAATGGACATCCTTATTTCACCCTGGATTTTATTGGAAATGCTTCTAGCTTATCCTCATTGCATATAATGCTTGCTGATGGTTTTTGATGGATACTATCTATCATTTTAAGGAAGACTCCACTTTTTCCTATGCTGTCTAGTGTTTTTAATAGGAATGGGTGTTATATTTTGCCAAATGCTTTTTCTGCATCTGTTGAGATGATCATATGATTTCTGTTAGTTTTGTTGTTAATATGGTCAATTATGCTGATAGTTTTCCAAATATTGAACCAACCCTGCATTCCTGGCATAAATCCTACCTGGTCATAGTGTATTATCCTCAAGATAAGTTGTTGCAATCTCTTTGCTAACATTTTATTTAAATTTTTTGCATTTATATTCATTAGAGAAATTGTTCTAAAATTTTTTTCCTCAGTTTTGGCTCTTCTTAGGTATCAGCACCATATTTGTATCATAAAAAAAAAATTGGTAGGACTCCTTCATCCATTTTTCCAAATAGTTTATGTAGTATTGGAAACAGTTATTCTTTAAATGTTTGATAGAATTCACTTGTAAATCCATCTGGCCCTGGAGATTTTTTCCTAGGGAGTTCACTAATGGCTTGTTCAATTTCTTTTTCTGAAATGGGGCTAAGTATTTTATTTCCTCTTCTGTTAATCTAGACAATTTATATTTCTGTAAATATTCATCCATTTATCGGCATACAGTTGGGCAAAACAGCTCCTAATTATTGTTTTGATTTCCTCTTCATTGGTGGTGAATTCATCCTTTTCATTTTTGACACTCATAATTTGGTTTTCTTTCTTTTTTTTAAATCAAATTAACTGAAAGTTTATCATCTTATTGGTTTTTTCATAAAACCAGCTCTTAATTTGATTTATTAATTCAATAGTTTTCTTAATTTCAATTTTATTAATCTCTCCTTTGGTTTTCAGAATTGCCAATTTGGTATTTAATTGAGGATTTTCAGTTTGTCCTTTTTCTAGCTTTTTTAGCTCCATGACCAATTTATTGATCTCTTCTTTCTCTATTTTATTCATGTAAGCTTTTAGAGATATAAAACTTTCCCTAAGGACCACGTGCACTGCACCCCATAAGTTTTAGCATGATGTCTAATCATTGTAATTCTCCTGTATGAAGTTATTGATTGTTTCTATGATTTGTTGTTTGACCCACTCATTCTTCAGGATTAGATTATTTAGTTTCCAACTCCTTTTTAGTCTATCTTTCCATGGCCCTTTTTTACATGTAATTTTTTTTGCATCATGATCTGAAAAGGATGCATTTAATATTTCTGCCTTTCTGCATTGGATTGCGAAGTTTTTATGCCCTAGTACATGGTCAATTTTTGTGCAGGTGCCATGTACTCCCAATAGAAAGGTATATTGCTTTCTGTCCTCATTCAGTGTTCTCCAGACATCAACCATATTTAACTTTTCTAAGATTCTATTGATCTCCTTAACTTCTCTCTTGTTTATTTTGTGGTTAGATTTATCTAGTTCAGAGAGGGGGAGGTTGAGGTGCCCCACTAGTACAGTTTTGCTGTCTATCTCTTCCTGTATCTCCCTTAACTTCTTTAAGAATTTGGCTGCTATACCACTTGCTGCATGTATGTTTAGTAATGATATTACTTCATTATCTATGGTACCTTTTAGCAGGATGTAGTTTCCTTCCTTATCTCTTTTAATTAGATCTATTTTTGCTTTTGCTTTGTCTGAGACCAGGATTGCTACCCCTGCTTTTTTCACTTCAGCTGAAGCATAATATATTCTGCTCCAGCATTTTACCTTTACTCTGTGTGTATCCCTCTGTTTCAAATGTGTGTCTTATAAACAACATATTATATGATTATTGCTCTTAATCCACTCTGCTCTCCGGTTCCATTTTATGGGAGAGTTCATTCCATTCACATTCTCAGTTATGATTACTATGTGTGTCTTCCTCTCTATCCTATTCTCCCCCACCCATTTATGCTTTTTCTCTCCTTTCTCTCTTTCCTTCCACAGTAGAGTTTTGCTTTTGACCACCACCTCCCTCAGTCTGCTCTCCCTTCTATTAGCCCCCCCCTTTTGTTTTCCCTTTACCCTTTCTACTTCCTATAGGGTAAGTTAGATTTCTATAGCTAACTGATTATGTTATTCCCTCTTTGAACCAAACGTGATGAAAATATGATTCAAACAATGCTCATCTCCCTCCCCTCTTGCCCTCTACTGTATTTGGTTTTTGTGCCTTTTCTTGTGATATAATTTATCTTTGTCTACTTCTTCCTTTCTTCTTCTCCCAGTACAATCCCTTTTCACCACTCAGACTTTTTTACCACCACATCAAAGTCAATTTAAACCCATTCTCTCTAAGTATACCCCCTTTTAAATGTCATAATGACATTACAATTCTGAAGAGTTACAAGTGTTATCTTCCCTTGTAGGGATGTAAATAGTTTGCCCTTATTAATAATGTATTGTTAATTTTTCTTTCCTGTTTACCTTTTTATGCCTCTCCAGAGTCTTGCATTTGAAGGTCAAATTTTCTGTTGAGCTCTGGTCTTTTCATCAGGAAGGTTTGGAAGTTCCCTATTTCGTTGGATATCTATCTCCTCCCCTGAAAGATTATGATCAGTTTTGCTGGGTAGTTGTAATCCAAGCTCCTTTGCCTTATGGAATGTTGTATTCCATGCCCTCTGATCTTTTGATGTGGAAGCTGCAAGGTCCTACATAATCCTGACTGTGGTTCCATGATATTTAAATTGTTTCTTTCTGGTTGCTTGAAGTATTTTCTCTTTAATCTGGTAATTTTGGAATTTGGCTACAATATTCTTTGGCATTTTCAATTTGAGATTTCTTTCAGGAGGTGATTGGTGGATTCTTTTAATGAGTAATTTACCCCTGGTTCTAGGACTTCAGGGCAGTTTTTTTTTTTATAATTTCCTGAAGGATGTTGTCCAGACTCTTTTTTTTATCATGGTTTTCAGGTAGACCAGTAATTTTTAAATTGTCTCTCCTGGATCTATTTTCCAGGTCAGTTGTTTTATCAATGAGGTATTTTATGTTTTCTTGCATTTTTTCACTCTTTTGTTTCTGTGTGACTGATTCTTGCTCTCTCATAGAGTCATTAGCTTCCAATTGCCCCATTCTAATTTTTAATGAGTTGTTTTCCTCTATTAGATTTTGTAATTTTTAAATTTCATTTTATTAAGTTCATCCATCTTATCTCTTGAATAGAGAGGGACATGAAACTCAAGTGAGCCTGCCTTTCTCTCTTCTGTCTCTTAAATCTCAGCAATCATCCTATCCAAAATTAACAATATTCTCATTGTGATTAGATAATAATATTCAATATATGCATTCATGTTTTAGTTTTAATTTATTATAGCCTAGTGTTCCAAAGTCTTTGCTACTTACTAGTAGATGTTCACACCAGCTTTTATATACATGCTATAAATTCTGACTATAATAACTGATTTGCCAATGACAAGCAGAATTGCCCATACCTATCTGTGAGATGATGAGTATCATATCTCCTCCATGTTCCTTTTTTTCCCATAACAATACAGCTTTGGCAACCACTGGGCACTCTTTTCATTCCTTCCTTTGCATTCATATGGAGCTGCTTCCCTATGATGCAATTAAAATAACTCATATTTGTATAGCAATTTATGATTAACAAAGCGCTTTCCTCACAAAAAATCTTGTGAAGTAAATAGTCCCTCCCATTTTATAGATGAACAAACTGAGGCTCAGAGAGTTTGGGTGACTGAATCAAGGTCATACAACTAGCAACCATCAGAGCTTGGACTCAAACATATATCTTTTGACTCCAAGTTCAGTACTATTTCCATTACAAAACACATACAACAACCCCTATCCCATGCTGGTAGTTAATACCTCCACCCTCACCCATCTCATGTCATCATGTGGGCTTGGAAATGAGCCTGGATCAAACATTTTTGAAATACCTGTATTCACTTCTTTACCACACTAGGGCCATAGTGGAGTCCATTATGTTATTGTTCTACAGTTAGAACCCATTATTGATTAAATGAGCTTTTGTGGGCAAGCCTTGTAACCTAACCACCATTTATAACACTAGTTCTACAAGAAAATGTCTTCCCCAATTCCTAAAGATTTGTGATGGAAAATGCTAACCATATCCAGAGAAAGAACTACGGCATCTGATGTAGATTGAAGCATACTATTTCCACTTTTTTGTGTGTTTGTTTTTTCTTTCTCATGATTTTTCCCTTTTGTTCTGATTCTTCTTTCACAACATGATTAATGTAGAAATATGTTTAACATAACTGTATAAGTATTACCTATATCAGATTGCTTGCTGTCTTGGGGAGGAGGAAGGGAAGGGAAAGAGGGAGAAAAATTTGGAACTCAAAATTTTACAAAAATGAATGTTGAAAATTATCTCTATATGTAATTGGGGAAAAAATAAAATACCATTAGAAAAAAAAAGAAAATATCTTCCAAGTTCCAAACAGAAATTTTAGAAGTGAACTCTTAGATCCTAATAAGTTCATAAAATGAGAGCAGTTTATAGACATAAATGACAAATACTAGTAATGAGAGTGTAGAGGAGGAAGAGTTAGGATCTATGACTTTGTCAGTATAGGGAGCTCCCAATAGACATTTGCTTCACTGAAAAAGATCCATAATTCTATGTAACATAGGCTTGAAGAATTAAGGTTCCATTTCTTATCCAAGTTAAGCATCCTCAGTTCCTTCAAATGATCGTCATATGACATGGGCTCAATGCTCTTCACTACACATAAAGTCTCATCAGACTGCCATAGGACTTCTCGTTGTTCAGTCGTTTTCAGTTGTGTCCAATTCTTCATGACCCCATTTGGGGTTTTCTTGACAAAGATACTGGAGTGGTTTGCCATTTCCTTCTCCAGCTCATTTTACAGATGAAGAACTGAGGCAATCATAATTAAGTGACTTGCCCAGGGTCACACAGCTAGTAAGTGTCTGAGGCCAGATTTAAACTCAGGAAGATGAATCTTCCTGACTCCAGCCCTAGCACTCTGTGGCATCTGGCTGAGATCTGCAGTAAGACTATCAACTCCTTATTCCTGAAAGCTAATGTAGCCAAAATTATATTAGTTTTTTTGGACTGTCATCATATTCATTTCTCATATTGGGCTTTTAGTCCATCAAAACCCCCTGTTTTCAAACAAGCTGCTATCTAAGTACGCCTTCTCTATCTTGTACTTGTGATATTGATTTCTTTTTTTTTTTTTAATTTTGGCTAGGCAATGGGGTTAAGTGACTTACCCAGGATCACATAGCTAGTAAATGTTATGTGTCTGAGGTCAGGTTTGAACTCAGGTCCTCCTGAATCCAAGACCGGTGCTCTATCCACTGCGCCACCTAGCTGCCCCTGTGATATTGATTTCTTGTACCAAAGTAAATTCCATCTTATTAGACACTAAGTCTACACAGTAAGCTTTTCATTGATCATTCTCATTTTATTTTCAACCACTCTTTCTTATTATATACATTTATTATACATGTAGTTACATATTGTTATATAATATATATTTATATAATCATATTATATATTTATATTTCTTATAGAATTTAGAAATAAACTTAAGAAATTTCCATGGCAAAGACATTAGTGTTTTTGATAATTTTTCACTTTGGAACTCTCCATGGATCAAAAATAGCTGAACAGACAGATTAAAATGCTTTATACTTTAAACCTGTTGTTTCTTTAAAAAAAAAACAACTATTTTTAAAAAGCATTGGTTTTAGAATTTAAAGGAATATTACAGACCAACTAGTCTAACCTCCTCATTTTATAGGTGAGGAAATGAAGGCCTAGAGAAGTAAGGGACCCCCCAGGTGACACAGTAGAGAACTGGGCCAGGAACCAGGAAAACTCATCTTCCTGAGTTCAAATCTGACCTCAGACACTTACTGGCTGTGTGACCCTGGGCAAGTCATTTAACTCTGTTTGTCTCAGTTTTCTCATCTGTAAAATAACCTGGAGAAAGAAAAGAAATGGCAAATCACTCCAGTATCTTTGCCAAATGGGGTCATGAAGAGTCAGTCCCGAGGAATCAGACACAAAGAGTCGAACATGACTACGATGATTAAACAACAACAAGAAAAGAGAAGTAAAGGGACATGCTCAAAGTCACACAGTTATTAAGAAGTCTCAACATTTAGAAATCTTTCTTCTGGCTAAAAATTCAAACTAAAAAGATTTACTTGCATTCATATGATTTCTCAGCATCATAAAATGTCTCTTACAATAAAAATTTTAACGCCAGGGAAAACATCTTTAAACTCTTGCTAAAAGAAAAGGATATATTCATTGAGACATAATGCATTTGACACTCAATATCTTGTTTTTGCCTTCTAATATTTTTTCTCAACTTTTTAGGTTAAAAGATGCCTCTGAGGTTAAATAAAGAAATATCTGAAGACGAATTCTATGGACAGTTTTCTAATGTAAAAGCATCCCACCAAACTTTGCTCTGCTTTAGTCTGAAAGAAGATGATAAAACACTTTGGAAATTATGGGGCCATGCTTACAATAATCCAGGCCAATGTCATGCTGAAATCTTAGTTTTAAGGGAAATGGAAGAATATTTAGTGGCAAATATTCCCAATACTACAAAGTACAGCATTACCTGGTTTCTTTCCTATAGCCCCTGCCGCTGGTGCTGTGATGAAATAACCAATTTTTTAATGAAGTCCCAAACCAAAATTGAATTTAACATCAAAGCAGCAAGGCCATATTATTTTGATGATGATGAGAATCAAAAAGGTTTAAAAATGCTCAGAAGACTGGGAGTTCTGATCAAAATGATGGAATACAGTGACTATGAAGAATGTCTCTACTTATTTGTGGATCCTTGCACCAAGTTCATTGCATGGCCAGATTTAGAAGTGCAAAGTATAGCAAATAAAATGATATTCCATCATTTATTGGCCCAGGTATATTTCATATTAATCATAAGTGAGATAAGGGTTATCGGAGAAAACAGCTCCAACAAATAAGCACCAACTATGTGCAGAGATCTATGCTAGGTAGCGGGGGAGAGATGAAGGCTAAACAAAAAAACAAAAACAAACTCTTACCTCCTGGGACTCACAATCTAGTAAAAAAAGATTTGGTACATATGCACTTTTCCAAGCCTGTGATTTCATCAGAATGAAGAACTCCAAGTGTGGAAACTCACTCTATCAGTATAGATCATCAACTTATCAGTAATCTTGAGCTGTCTGGAGCACTAAGGTTAAGTGGCTTGGCTGTGATCACACTTCTAGAATGGGTCAGAGGGAGGGTTGATCTCAGTTTTTTGGTTTTTATTCCAAGGCCAGACTTCTATCTTTATGCCACACTGCCTTTCATGCATAGACTACTCTGAAACAGAAGAATATATGAATAGTATTTAGAGAGATGCAAGGCAAATGCTGAAAAGGGTTGAGGGATGGGAGGGAATTGTTACTGACTGGGGCAGTAGGAGGCATAGGATCAAGGAAGCCAGCATGCAGATGACGTTCAGATGCTGAAAGTCCTTGCTTGGATCTCCCAACTTCTGAATGTGAAGTGCACCCAAAAACAATACTCCACCTCAATTTTCTCCTTCAGGTTGTCCTTAGACACCTAGATCATAGAGAATCGTGTCGACCTAAGAGGATATGAGATGGTATTTTGTATGTCCTGGATATGAAGTTTCTTTCACATATCCATCCATGCCCCAAATCATGACGTCAAAAAAATAATGCTTTCAAATTTTGTACATGACAACAAGCTGGCTAATATCAATTGCCAAGGCCCTTGGTAGATGAGATTGGAATTCAAAATGACAGCGAAAAGCTTTATGTGCTCAAAGTCAAATGGCTGACTCTAGATAAGGGGGGGAAAGGGCTTATGGAGATATAAGACATGCCAGATTATTTGGGACACAGTAGCAATAAAGAGGAGAACAGCATGTAGAAAGTAAAAAAGCAGGCTTTGCATAAGAAGAGTGAAGGAATTCTAAGCATTGGCCAAACCCATACAATGTCAGTGTCTTCAGAATGAAATAGGAAACTTGAAAAAGATCACAGGGAACAACAAGATGGAAAGACATATAAACCAATGCAGAGTGAAGTAATCAGAATCAGAAGAATGACTCACACAAGCACATCAATATTATGAAAATGAACAATTTTGAGGATTTTCACGAACTGATAAAGAATGAAATGAGGAGATCCAAGAAAACAATTTGCATAATAACAATTCAATTTAAAAAAGCCTTTGAAAGCTGCAAGGACTATGATCAATTCAATGAGCAGGATCACTGATGACTCCAGAGAACCGAAGATGATACTATCTATTACATAAATTGAGGGATTTAGGGTGCAGAATAAGATATGTGTATATATGTATATGTGTATATATATATATGCACATATATATACATTATATATACACATACATGTATATGTATGTGTGTATGTGTATATATACATATATACATACATACATATATACACATATATATCTATATATATAGATATACACACACACACACACACACACACACACACACACACAAAACAGAGCCAGTGAGGGAATGTTTTGCTTGGCTATGCATAAATATTGCAAGAAATTATTTTTCCTTTTCTTTTTTTTCCCACTGAGTAGGGTATGGGGTGGGAAGGAGAGAAAATAGATTTCTGTTCATTTTTTTAAATACAGAAATGAGGTAGGTACTACAGATGTAGAATGTTGTGTGCACTTTTAGATAAGGTCACAGTATTGCTAGTTTTACTTAACTCTTACTTTGTTATGACAACTCTCATGAAGTAGGAGTAATCTGTAAATGTATGTAATATAAAAACAAAACACATTAATCAAACTTTTTTTAAAAAGGAAATTAAAATCTATGGAGAAATATTAAAGGGCTTAGAATCATTTAGATCAGAAAAGAGAGGTCTTAGAGTAAAGTTAATGACAGGATTTTTATAAAGAGGATGGTGATTAGCTATTCTTTCTTCTTTCAATTGGTATGTTTTAAAATTATGAATATTTTCTTAATAATTTTTAATTTGTTCTTTCCAGGATGACAACAGATTAGACAACCATTTGTTCACAACAGATGATTCTTCTCCAGGTAAGGTCAACAAATTAACAATCCATAATGTGTAGAGGAGTGAATTTTAAAAAAGAAATGTGCCACAACCATAATGGGAAGTTACAATTCACTCAAGCTTAAGTGGAATTGTCCCCAGATATGTATCTGACATATATCTTGTTATATATCTCCTAAGACATATATCTTATGTTCCTGAAGCTATATGTAGCAGGGTAAATTCCTAGAAAATGATAACTTAACCAGTGAAATTGGCATTATGTGTGAAGCTGATAGTTTTAAATACATATTGTTTAGTAAATATTTCTGATCATAACCATATGAGCAGTGACATCTCTTGACTTATAGATTATATGAATAAGCCCATCCATCCCTGAAGAGTTTCAAAAGCACTACAAGCCAAAGGCTAAAATTATTCATGCAAAATTTCTTCTATAATTTAGAAAAGATGAGAAAGGAAGCATATATATTACAGTGACAAGGACTTATGACATAATGAGGTGATTCATTCTTTACTTAAGGATCATACCAAAACAAAGTGATAACACTTTCTTAGATACTTAAATGAATCAGTGATTTCATCTATGTGGCCATACCCTCCAGTGGTGAAGCTACAACTTTTCCATGTCTTCTTATTTTATGTAATTCTAGTCCATATTATTCTGCAATTCTCCCTAGAGCAAAGATTGTAATACGTGTGTGCGCACGTGTGTGTGTGTGTGTGTGTGTGTGTGTGTGTGTGTGTGTGTGTGTGTGTGTGTGATGGACCTTTTTGGCAGTCTATGGAATTCTCAAAACAATATTTTTAAATGCATTAACTAAAATATGAAGGCGTAAAAAGGAAATCAATTACATTGAAATAGTAAAACCAAGGTCATGGACCCGAGGTAATGAGACCCTGCCCTAAAGAATCCACCTCATATACTAGGTGACTTTCTCTTAATCTTTTCACATTTTAAGCATGTCAATGTAGTAGCTGTCTACTACCTTTCATTTTCACTATGTGTTATCTCCTTTCCGGGTGATATCTTTTAAGCCACTTAACAGTATTACCCATTTTATAGTACTTTGATCTTCATAAGACACTTCATATACAATATTTCTTGATCTCATTTACACTTCTTCCACTCAACTCATTGTTAGTAATTGGCTATAGCCTACTTACACAATTCCTGTCTTTCAATTTCCCTTGGGTACACAGACAATTTCGATGTTTTCAAGATCAAAGTACTCCCTGATTCACAAACATACAACCTCACTAGAGGACTTTAAAGTGTAGAGATAACAGACATACTAAGTGGTCCATTAATGTATGAAATAATAAGATTCAAATTAAATACTGATTATAAGTCTAAACTAAAATCTGAACCCTGTTTGCTAAAATCATCAGGGAAGAAGTAGAATATTACTTAGAGTCTTTTAAGACTTGCATTATTAAGACAAACCATTTGTTTTAAATAGGTTATGGCTATTAAAGTCATTAGTATCACAAACAAAAGATAAAGTGTTTGAATTCCCACAAGCATATTGAAATACATACATTTTGCAGTTCATAGAAGGAACCCAAATTCAGTCAACACATTCCTGTAGTAAGACAAGGCATAGCATCTCATTTAAGCTAACATGATTATTATCCTTCAAAATGGAATCACAAGCCACAAGTTTTCTAATTGTTCTCCCCACTATGGACATTAGCCAATATTAAGGAAGAAAAGAAGGAAGAGAGGGAAGGAGGATGGCAGAGAGGGAGGGAGAGAGAGGGAGAGAGAAGAAAGAAGAAAAGGAAGGAAAAAAGAGAGGGAGGAAGGATAGAAAGGAGGGAGGGAGGGAGAGGGAGGAAGGAAGGAAAGGAAGGAAGGAAAAAGGGGAAGGAGGGAGGGAGGAATCAAGCATTTATTAGGTAAGTACTATGTGCCAGGCACTATACTAAGTGCTTTACAAATAATATCTCATTAGATCATCCCAACAACCCTCCAAGGTACATGCGCTTCCTATCCTCAGTTAATTGGTTTGCAGTTGAATTCAAAGATGGATAAACTAAACATCACACTTGTAATACTGCTATCCTTGGAAATTCACGCCATGGGAGTGAGTGATAAGTGATACTACAGCATTAAACAGTCCTTTTGGCATTTGGGTAACAGAGCTCCCTTAAACTGAGTCCAAAACAAGTCTGATTTATGAATTTTCCTTCTAAATAGAAAATGACCATTCCAGTATGTTTACATTATAAATATTTTAGTTGTTTTGCTCAAAAAGTATGGTATTAAGTTAGAGTCACACAAAATGAGAAAAAGTTATGTTTGGTTGTTCTAATTTTAAACAGGGAGGCTAGATGGTAAGAGTAGATAGAGTGCTGGACCCAGAGTCAGGAAGACATAAGTTCAAATCCTGCCTCAGACACTAGCTAGTTGTGTGGCCCTGGGCAAGTTATCTAACCTCCGTCTGCCTCAGTTTCCTCATCTGTATAATGGGAGTGTTGATAATAGCACCTCTCAGGACAGAATGAGATATTTCTAAAGCACTTAGGAAACCTTGAGGCACTACATAAATACTAGTCAATAATAATAATAAACATCAAAATTTTCAGTGTACCAAAGGGCATTGGAAAGACAGGTGAAGGGTATGAATAGATTCCAGTCACTTACTAATAGTGCCTTGAGTACAAGTGTAAATGCTTTCAAGAGCTATTGTATGGGGTGGGGCAGCTAGATGACACAGTGGATAGAGCACTGGATATCACCCATGTTGGGTTTGGACATGGGATATGAGTAATACGACATGGAGATATCTTTATCAGCATTCTTATGGTTGTTCAAGTGAGCTTCATAACTGTTAAACAAGTAGTGAGCATTACATTAAACTTTGATGCCTGCTATGAGAACCTATCTTATGTAATTATTCCTATATGATTTATGTAAAATATCAGACTGATTATTACTGATTTGAAGAGAGTAGAGGTCCAAATGAATCATACCTTACACACCAAAGATCCTGAGACAAAATGAAAAGCTGCCCCTGCCTTCCTAGAGCTTGCAATTAAGCTCCATAGGACCCTTACATAAATCATATATTATTTAAACTGAAAAGTACTTTGCATTAATGGGACCTTAAGCATCAATTTCCCAAAGGTGTGCCCCTCTGGAAAGTATTAGAGAAAGTTACTTCACCAGCTACAAAAAATTTGAAGCTCATGTTTATACAAACATGGATTGGTTGTTAAATACAGTCTCTATCCTTTCCCCTCCGTTATCAAGGCAAAGTGGACAGAACTCCCAGCCTCTGCCCTCTTCCAAGCAATACTTTCATCCCTTATGTGCTGTGGCCTCATTTCCCCCTTAAAGTTTCTTTTTTGTTGTTCATTTTCATTTGATTTCAACTGCATAAAAACGTTGAAAAAGAATGAAACTCACATAATGATTCTCCCTAAGCTCCCTATACCCCTATGATGAGAAATGACCTCATCTACAGTTGCTATTTTTAGGGCTTTTTTATTGTGTCCCTAAAATCTAGCACAGTGCCTGGAAAATGGTAGGTATTAGGGGCAGCTAGGTGGCACAGTGGATAGAGCACCAGCCCTGAAGTCGGGAGTTCCTGAGTTAAAATCCGGCCTCAGACCAAACACTGGACACTTACTAGCTATGTGACCCTGGGCAAGTCACTTAACCCCAATTGCCTTAAAAACAAATGGTAGGTATTTAATAAATGCTTGTTGATTAGGTGGTTGCTGAAAAAATATGCAATTATTGTTGTTAAGTCATTTTCAGTTATGTCCAATTCTTCATGACCCCATTTGGGGTTTTCTTAACAAAGATACTACAGTGGCTTTGCCATTTCCTTCTGCAGTTCATTTTACACATGAGGAAACTGAGGCAAACAGGATTAAGTGACTTCCTCAGGGTCACACAGCTACTAAGTGTCTGAGGCCAGATTTGAACTCAGGAAGAAAAGTCTTCTTGACTCCAGGCCTAGCACCCTATCTACTGTGCCACCTAGCTACATTTAGCAATTATTCCTAGGTTTATATTATGAGGTAATCCTTAATCCTAGGAGTAAATCTTGTTATATTGTTTTAAAATAAATTTTCTAGTAGCAGAAGGCAGGTGCTTCTAATTAGAGTAAGTAGGAAACCGATTGTGAGTTATTGATACAATTCTAATGCAATGCCCTAAAATCTCCTATTGCAGAGTAAATTTCAGTGATTACTCAGTTTTCAAAATCAAGTATTATTCTGTTATTCTAATATCTCATCATTGGAGATGACATTAATTCAAAATTTATAACAACTTTTCTGGGCTGAGATTATGGTCACCTTTATATTATGGGGAAAGACAGGGCTTGGTAAAGATTCAAGAGCATAAATTGAAGTGGGATATTTAACCTATTACAAGGAAGGGGAACTTTGTTCTTAAAATACATTGTGTGGGAATGGCTATAACTATAATGAATGAATAAATAAATACTTCAAGAAGACTCAGCAAGACCCTAGGCCAAATTGCTAGTCCTCAGTCTGAATTATTACATATACTTGAAAGTAAAACTTCATTGTTTATTGTTGTCTTATTTTTAATTTTTAATTCATTTTAAAATTATGGAATAAAACAAGCATTTCCTTAACATAGTATAATTTTTTAAAGATGATTGTACATGAAACCGCAAATCTCTCTACAAAGGACATATTAAGGAAGACACTGCATCTAGAGAAAGAACTGATAAATAAAACTTCATTTTAAAAATCTGTAATTCAGATTTTCCATAGATCCAAAGTGAATAAGCAATGTGATGTGATATAGCAACCAGTAGTAGTGGGAGATTTCAGTGATAAGCCATCTCTGAGCAGTCATCAGATGAAATCTAGCTATTGTCATGATTTCTTTTAACACGATAATACCTATATCTGGAAACAATTTGATAGAATAAGAAAAAAAATGACTGAGTCTGCTCTTGGACAGGCTCAGAGCTTAAAGCTAAATGCTGCCGTTGGGGAAGGAGGGACAGAGACAGAAAATTATTTTAGTTGCTTTTGAAAGCCCGGGGAAGATCTGACCTGACCTACCTTTCCTTCTGGATGCCCTGAGTTATCTTTGAAATTAGGCCGGCGCTGGGACCGAGGTGTCCTCAAAAACCCAGAGATAACCAAGCCATCACCAAAATAGGTAACTATTTGTTCTCCTCCCTCCTCCAATCCCAACATACAGACAGGGCATTTTGACACATTTGAAAATGTCACGTGTTGTACTTGCCAAAAGTAGAAGGACACAGGGTCCTGGACAGGATGATTTATTTAAAGGTACTATACCAGAGCCAGCCCTACACAAGTTAAGTAAGGTAAGCAGCTATGTCCATGCCCCTCCTACCAGAGTCACAGCATTGCGGAAATCTGTCTGGTTCACTCTGCTGCAACAGGGCAGGCCTCCACGGAAGTCTGTACCGCTGTACCAAGGGAGATTATCCATAGATGCCTACTAGGGCAGATTATTATATGCATTGTCAGAAGGGGTCACTGACTGTATTGGGTGCTTTTCTACATAAATATTTTTCTTTGTCACGAGAGAAATTTCAAAGGAAAGGGGAAAGGATGGATGGGTTTTGGTGAAAGGACTTTAAAGCAGAAAGAAAAGGCTACCATAAATGCATTTTTTTAAAAATAGAGTATGGCTCCAATGAGTCTTCTGTCCTTACAGGAATAGGTCCTACTCCCTCAGTCACAGTAAGAGGACAAATCATAGACTGGAAGCAACCTTAAAGATCATATACTCTAACCTACTCATTTTACACATGAAGAAACTGTAGTCCTAAAAGTCAAATGATTTGCCTGAGGTCATGCTACTAATTAGTGACAGAGCTACGAATAATACAAGTCTCTGGATTCCCATAAGTCCCACCCAGTTTAGTGTCCTTGGGTCATCAGGTCCCATAGTATATGATGCCATCTATCTGTCCCTCTCCATCTGTCTGGCTGGCTGCTTTTCTGTTTGAAATATAGACTTTCCCAAGGGAAAGGGGGGAAAAAAGGAAAGGGAAAAAGAAAAGAACTGGTTTCACTTTCTATCACCTTTTAAATGTGCTCTTCCCAATGCGATGGCTATGGTTTTGTTTCAACTTTATAACTGAAGGGATAAGAGTCATAGTTGCATTCCTAATCATTCATCTTCAAATTGTTATAAAGAGTTATGTTATTATTAAGAATAATTCACAGCACCTATAAGTTACAAAACGCCTTGTCTCACAGAAGCCTTATGGATCTTGACCATCTTGACACAGTCAGAGCCAGGATTAAATCAATCAGTAAAAATTTGTTAAATACCTACTATGAGCTAACCACTGCACTAGGTCCTGAAAAAACAAAGACCAAAGTAAACCAGTCCCTCCCCTCAGGGTGCTTATACTCTAATGAGAGTGGAATCCAAATCTCCTGACTCCCAAGTCCATTTTTTTCCCTACCAAGGCAGACTGTTGTGGACCTTTGTTAGAGAATATATGTGCCAGCCAGGTAGAGATACAGAGACTAAAATGAAATGGTCCCTGCCCTCAAGGAGTTTACATTCTCCTCTACCCACTTGACCATCTAGCCATACTGTCCTCACACAGGATGCCACACATCTGACTCCTTACTTTTGCACTAACCATGTCTGGCATGTTCTGCCTCATCCCCATAGCCTCAGAGAACATTGAGCTTCCTTTAAGACCATGATAAAATGCTTTGTTGTTCAGTCATTTCAGTTACATCCAACTCTTCATGACCCCATTTGGAGTTTTCTTGGCAAAGATACTAGAGTGGTTTGCCATTTCCTTCTCCAGGTCATTTTACAGATGAGGAAACTGAGGCAAACAGGGCTAAGTGACTTTCCCAGGGTCTCACAGCCAATACGTGTCTGAGGCCAGATTTGAACTCAGGAGGATGAGTCTTCCTGACTCTAGGCCCTGCCCTCTATCCACTGCATGATAAAAATGCTACTTTCTTTTATTTATTTATTTATTAATTTTTAGTTTTCAACATTCACTTCCATAAGATTTTGAGTTCCAAATTTTCTCCCCATCTCTGCCCTCCCTCCATCCCAAGACAGCATGCAATCTGATGTAGGCTGTACATATACATTCATATTGAACCTATTTTCACATTAGTCATGTTGTAAAGAAGAATTAGAACCAATGGGAGAAACCAGGAGAAAGAAGAAACAAAAAACAAAAGGAAAGGAAAGGAAAGGGGAAAGGAAAGGGGAAAGGAAAGGGGAAAGGAAAGGGGAAAGGAAAGGGGAAAGGAAAGGGGAAAGGAAAGGGGAAAGGAAAGGGGAAAGGAAAGGGGAAAGGAAAGGGGAAAGGAAAGGGGAAAGGAAAGGGGAAAGGAAAGGAAAGGAAAGGAAAGGAAAGGAAAGGAAAGGAAAGGAAAGGAAAGGAAAGGAAAGGAAAGGAAAGGAAAGGAAAGGAAAGGAAAGGAAAGGAAAGGAAAGGAAAGGAAAGGAAAGGAAAGGAAAGGAAAGGAAAGGGAGATCAAATAATGTGCTTCAATCTGCATTCAGACTCCGTAGATAAAATGCTACTTTCTACAGATCTTTCCTGCCCACCTCCCTCCAGCTGCCAATCCCTTTCCCACTAAGGTTATCTTTCACCTCCTCTGTGTTTACATTGTATATACCTGCTTTAAAGTATATGGCATCTCCTCCAATTAATCCTTGAGGGCAAGGACTTTTATTTTTTATTTTTTGCATTTTCTTTGTATACACAGTGCTTGGCACAAGGTCTGCATATAGCAACACTTAATAAATGTTTATTGATTGATTACCAAAGAAGATCATATGTAAGTTTATACAAAATAAATTGCAGGAGTGAGGGCAAAACTATAGTTGTGAGGATGAGGAAAGATATCTAGTGGTAAGAGGTGGCATTTGAGCTAAGATCTGAAGGAAACCAAGGATTCTAAGAGGCAGGAAGGAGTTTGATCTGAGAGGCAGGAAGGAGTGCACTCTGAGAGGAAGAATGGACTGCATTCTAGACTTTGGGCACAGCCTGTGCCAAAACACATGGAAAGGGAAATAGAATGTTTTGTATAAAGAACAGGAAAAAGCAAGTTAGGCTGGATTATAGAGTTGCATGAAGGGAAGTTAATATACAAACCCAGAAATCCCAGAAAGATTTTGTTAGCACAGGGTCACTTGTAAGGCCGTCCTGTGGCCTGGACTATAAACATGGCATTAACCTGAAGCTTCTGTGAGACTTCTGAAGAGCAAAGAGAACAGTTGCTTTAATTTTGGCATTTAAATAATGAAAGATGTTAATGGTACCTGCTCCTTGGAAAAACATTTTAAATCAACAGTATCCTTACGTATGTATATTCTCTTCCACAAAAAAAGAGCATGCCAAAGAAAGACAAAATATTTTGAATTCAAACTCTTCTAATAGTTGGCTATTGTCAGGGTGTGGCTCAGAGGACGTGAGCTTCCCCAAGAAAACAAGCCTTATCCTGCAATGACAATTGCTCTCACCAGCTGTTCATAACCAGCCAACCCACTGGCTTCACTGTATCTTCCAAGAAATCCAGCTACAGAAGGCAAACATTGGGTCATCCATTTGAGCTAAAGAGATGTAACCCCTCTAGTCCTGACTGTCTGTCTCTACTTAATGATGCTTGAGCTACAAAGGAAAAAAAAAATGCCTTTTAGAAAGATGAAAGGGCAAATATCTATTTTCAACCATTCTTACTTTTTGATGGTATAGGTAGTGATTTTATTTTGCCAGATTTTATCATCTCTTTTTAAAAAACTTAATTATGCATACCCATAGAATCACAACCTGCTTCAAATACAAGTCTCTGCAACAGGTAATTAGCTGGCACTTAGTAGCAGCCTAGTAGCAGCCTAAGATTAGAATTAGGATTATATTTTATTTAAGCCTGCATGGTAGACACTGGGCAATGTTAGAACATGCAAGAAAAAAAAAGTTCCAAGTTCAAGTTAGATCTCAATCCTTTAATGAATATGTAATCTCATCAATGTGGTCCCTCCTTTCAATGATATGCATCATAGTCCATCCAAGCCCATACTTTCAGATATTTTATGTTACTTGTAAATATCTTTCTATAAATCCTCCATAGAGGAAACACCTAATACTCTTAAAGTCTTCCTTCAGTTCTTTGAATATTTCATGGGTACCCCTAGGCACTGGAGAATTATTAAATTATTAAAAATATTAAAATACTTTGTATGAGAAGGGACCTAAAAGATCCCACTAAGGGCTTATATAACCAGAAAAAGGTCACTGGTCATGCAGTGAAAGTGAGAGATATGATGGATAGTTTGCACTAATCCAAGTTACTAAGTCAGTATTGACTAACTGATTTGGTCACCCTATTTAATTTTTTTTTTTAAAGCAGATGAACCTTCACCCACTAGTCTGGTTAAGCCCAGTACCAAATGACTTTGGATCTAGTGACTGTCACTATCTAATGGTGTGCCTGGAGCACTTTGTTCGGGGCAAGAAGTTCTGTTTGAAAAGAGCAAAATTTGATTTTGAATATGCAGAAGTTCACTGGAGAATATGGTCAAAATTGCACTAATCATTTTTTAAAATTCATTCCAGTTCACGCTGGATCAACATCTGATTTTGAAAGCCATGTCTTGATCAACAAGTTTCCACCAGAAGATCCTAACAAAACACCAGACAAGAAAGATGAGTTTTCAGATATAAGAACTCCACAGAAAACATGTTTTCCCCAGAGAACAAGAGAATTTGGGAAAGAAGTCAAAAGAAAACTCTTTTGAACAAGTGGTACTGCAATTTTGTTTTCATTTTCCCCCAAGCACTACAAATATGTCATTCCACGTTTTTAATCAGTTTTACACTTGATTTGTAACTTCATTGTTTCCTCACTTGGTTAATTATGTGTAATGATTTAGTTTGAAATTGTGGTTAATCAAGGGGATCTGAACATTACAGAATTCTGTAACCTTTGATATATACACTTTGTTCAAGCTTTCTCTTTCAACTTATCAACTTATATTCCAACTCCTGGGCACCCATCCTGCCTATACTTGAAATTGCTCCCTTCTTCTTCTTGCATTTCCTATATGGTCCAGATAAGATTTCCAAGGCAGTGGCTGCAAGACACAATTCCCCTTCCTTGCATTCCCTTTAGGCTCTGATTGATTTACTTGTAACAAGATTAAAAAGCAAGGCATTATTTGAGAGACCCTGTTGGTGAATTTAGTAATGACTGCCTGAGATTAGAATGCTCTGCAGTGCCTTTCTTAGGACTGGACAACTTTGTAATACTAGAAGTTGATTGGTTCTGGGCTGTGACTTTTGCCCTTATTAATACTTGCACTTTTGGCCATCCTCTTGCATCACCTTATCTTGAACAGCAGCTCCAGGTCTATGTCAGGGACATGAAGGAATCTTGTAGCAGTCGATTCCAAATTCAACTATAGCATTCCTAAAATTTATAACAGTACCTTCCTGATATTTTCCCCTCCTGACATTTTTCCACTACATGGAACACTGTTAGCTAACACCCAAAGTAAACTACATAGACACAATCCAGTATTTGGGAATTCTGAGGGCTAGACATGATTATGTTGATGTAAAACATGTATGTTTCTGTTGAGTAACCTTTCCAATGAATATCTCTGATCAAACAAATAAATGGTGTGTTGACCCTTTTTTTTTTTGGCTCAAACCCAAACTTTGAGACAAAGTCCTGTTGGACTAGTATAGCAGAAATAGTTAGCACCTTGTTCGTTTTGTCAGGAAGATGGAGAAATTGTGTTAAGGGTATCATTTAAAAAATTTTCATGGATGATAATTTATATTTTTAATTCATAATTGTTGGATTAAAACTCAAATTTTTAGTGAACGCCATATGTTTCTAGTCAAAAAGTGACCTTTTCTATTATTTCTGGAGTATAAAATTCTATATTATTATAATCTGGTTTAGAGGTAGTTAATCTTTTTTTGTGTCATTCTCATTTCAAAGTCTGGTGAAGTCTATGGATTTTTTCTCAGAAAAAAAATGTTTTCAAAGGGATAAAATACATAGTATTGCAAAGGAAATCAACTATATTTAAATAGTTAACCAAATATCTTAAAAACTAGCTCACAAATCACATGTTAACAACCTTTCTGATCACCACTGATTTTGAAGAGTTCTTTCATATCACTGGGTACTTATGTATAGAAAATAGTAGAAAAATTAAGTAGTCACAGATCGACGTCCAAGGTATTATAGAGATAAAAGCCATCTTCCACTTTAGAAAAGGGTTTTCTTCTAACTACAGAAACATTTTGGAGAAAGCTAATTTTCTGATTTAATGTATCTTAGGACAAACCTTTTCAAAGCTGTTTCCAAGACTTTAAGCCTTCCTCTTAAACATTTATTTGTGGGTATTAAAATTGTCCAACCTACAATAAAAGAGACTGATGCAGAGCTCTGCACTTCATTAAAGGGTCCATGGCCCCTCTAATGAGGTAGACCTCAGATATTCCTCACAATCTGAGATGCCCCATTCTTCCGTGCCTTTGTTTTCATAGGGTTTGATACCCAAATATGCAAAAGAGGCATGGCAAAATACAGATTTTCATTGGTTGATAGATCTTGCTCTCAAGGGCCAAAATGTCATATTTGTGGGGGTGGGAGGTGGGAATGTCACAAGTTGAGTGAAGCATGTGGCATCTCCACTGATTAAGTAGTCATAACATGGTCACCTGCTCGTGTTGGACAAGAGAAAATGGTCCAGAGGTACAAAAATAAATTGAAGGACTTTCCAAGGCATTCTCCCACGCTGGGTTTGGACGTGGAATTTGAGTAAAACAGGATAGAGATATCTTTATCAGCATTCTTGTGGTTGTGCAAGTGAGCCTCATAACTTGGTAGTGAACATTACATCAAAGTTTGAGACCCCACTATAAGAGCCTATCACTATATGATTTGTGTAGAATATTAAACTGATTGGAATAGAGTAGGGGTCCAAATGAATTATTTCTCACACATCCGTTCAAGTCACAAGAATTTATCAAACTCAGAGTTGTGTAATTAAGTTAAAGAGGTAATGTTAAAGTGCATAGAGACATAGATATATGCAATGCTATATATCATATACATATATGATATATCATAATATATCACATCCATAGACACATACAATGCTTCATCAGAAAAATTAGTTGGATTTAAGGAATGGGGTGGAGCCAACTCTAATCAGTTTCCCTGGTTACTGTTAAATTTTCAGGGTGAGATTTATACTTCAGAAATCAGCAATCCCTTACAAATCAGGGCTTGATTTACTTTCTGTTGTTCAGTCATTTCAGTCACATCTAACTCTTTGTGACCCCATTTGGCGTTTTATTAACAAAGATACTGGAGTGGTTTACTATTTCTTTCCCCAGCTCATTTTATAGTTGAGGAAATTGACGCAAACAGGATTAAGTGACTTGTCCAGGGTCACACAGCTAGTAAGCATCTGAGGTCAGATTTTAACTACAAGTCCTCCTGACTCCAGGCCCTGAGCTCTGTTGGCTCCACTTAGCTGACCTAGGGTTTGATTTATTGTTTTGCTAATTGTCTAAACTTTTAAAAGTGTTAATTAAGCAGATTAAACTTCAAAGTATATGTTCATACACTCCTCTCCCTCCAGCCCCAACACACACAAACACACCCTGGTTATTAAACATTTACCAGCACACCCTTGTATTGCTTTGACAAATATTGCTTGATCTAAGCAAGAGTGTAGGATGAAGTCGTCATTAGACTGGAAGCCTAGCAACCGCAGGCTAATAATAATAATAATGATAACTAGCATTTCTATAGCATTTTAAAGTTTGTTGTTCAGGTTGTGTGTGACTCTTCATGACCCCATTTGGGGTTGGTTTCTTGCTTTTTTTGTTTTTGGCAAAGATACTGAAGTAGTTTGCCATTTCCTTCTGCAGTTCATTTTACAGATGAGGAAACTGAGGCAAACAGGGCTAAGTGATTTACCCAGGGTCACACAGCTAGTAAGTGTCTGAGGCCAGATTTGGACATCATGAAGATGAATCTTCCTCACTCCAGGTCCCTCACTCTATCCACTACACCACGTAGCCGCTCCACTTTAAAGTTTGCAAAGTGCATTATATTTATTATTTCATTTCAGCCTCACAACACTCCTGGTTCAAGTTTCTTTAGAGAATCTGTGAGTAGTAATAGCTGCCCCACTGGGGACCCAACTGGCCGGTTCCAGTTGGGCGATACTAGCTCTTTCCATGGAACAGCCCTGCCTCACTTAAATGCAATTCGCTTGCAAGTCAAGACATCACCTTCCTAATGTCATTGGTCCTCTTCAAGAATGAAGGACAAACAATGACAATTCTGACTCCTCATTGTGTAGATGAGGAAATTGAAGCCATAAGATGTCACCTGACTTAGCTAAAGTCAGGCAGCTCGTAAGTGTCAAAGCTGTAATTCCAAACCTGTGTTCTCCATTTCCTAGGCTATTTATTTATTTATATGAATATAAATATACTTGTATATATATATATATATATATGAATTTATTTGTAGAGAAGTAGCCATTTTTCATATTGGATTATAGACCTGAAGCTGGAAGGGGCTTTAGATTTTTCTCTAGTCCAGCCTCCACATTTCATAGATGAGGAAATAACTCCAAGAGAAGTTAAATGACTTGCCCAAGGTCATACAGGTAATATGGAAGAAATAATTGCAAGTGACATTTACCTAGCATTTTAATGTTCATAAGGCATGCTTCTCTTAAGCTTCACAACAACTGTATGAAGACCACCACCCCATCCCCCTTTTTCAGAGGAGCACAGCTAAAGAGCTACAAGGGACCTCAAGTCCAGTGAGTCCAACTCTCTCATTTTACAGATGGGGAAACTGAGGCTAAGAGAACATAAGTGATTTGCCCAGGATCATGTAGCTAAGATGTCAAAGTGAAATGAGTGGTTGGACTATTTCAAGTCTGCAAGTCTGCTTGTTTCTTTCCTAACTAATAAGTATCTGAGGCAGAATTCAAACTCGGGTCTTTCTGCCTCCAATTCCAGTACTCTATCCACTACACAAAACTTATAGTTTATATCTGCACGAGGCTCTCATAGGCACTTTCCTGGAAATGCACTGATGAGAACAGAATATTCTCATCCTTTACCAGCTTCAAGCCCTGAGATGATTTCATATTTTCCTCCAGTCCAGAATCCCAGACCTATGGTCACTGACCTATGTACCAACCATCCATCAACTTTCTGCAGAGCCATAACTGTGGCAAGGTGACTCCTGCGGGCTGACATGAGGGTAAGGGAAGGGTAATGCATCCTCTCTGTAGCCATCCTTCAGCCCAATCCTCCAGCAGCTTGCTCCCTGTGGTGCAACAGCTCCTGCTTCTAAATTCTTTCTCTTGAGGAAGATTCAGTTGAATGCGGGCTGGAGATGGACTTGTGTTCACAAGATAGGACTACCTGATAATATATACATATTTTACAGTTGCTATATAGACTTCCCACTAGTGAGAAATTTCACATGTATCTTCCTTAGTACCAGTAATCTTTTTTTTTTCATTGTTTGATTGGGGAATTAACAGCTTTCTCTTCAAATTCACAGTGTGACATTTTTCAGAGCGTGGACCCAGCTGTTCTTCCATTTGTAAATCCCTTCCCTCGACCCTTCCACTGATTTTGTTCCAGGTATAAAATAACCTCCATGAGGTTTTTCTATATTTCCTGATAAGAAAACTCCAGAAATGATGTGGAGAGGATATAATGATTATTCTTCTGTGACCCTACAATCATGATTCTGGAGATGTTGCACAGTTGCCTATAAGATCCAGAGAAAGTGAGGGCTGAGCAGTTATACCACTGACATGGAAGAGAAGAATTCTCCCTTTTAAGGAAAAAAAAACAAACAAAAAAACAAAACCTTAGAGACAGTCATTCTGTCTACACCAACACACTCACCAACACAGCTACTGGAGAATTGAGTAGATTCATTTAGCAATTAATCAACATTTATTTCTTTAAACACAACATTTATCAAATGCTTGCTATGTGCTAGACACTATATTAAGCGATGGGACATAGAAAGACAAAAATGTAGCCGTCTTTGCCCTCAGAAAGCTTACATTTCATATATAAAGTATATAAGATGATATAGCATGTAATGAACAGGCCTCCCTTTCCCACCAAACTTAGATGACAGTCAAAAATCATAAGGCTAAGGTTTTGTTTTTTTTCAGGAGGCAGGGGCAGAAGAGGTAAAAACATGGTCTCAGACCTGGTACAGGGAATTGCATATGTGACAGCTTCCTCTACCAATGAATATCAGCAACTCATTCATAATTTAAGACTTTAGAGAGTTGCCAGAGGCTTTGAGAAGTTAAATAAGTCATCCATGGTGATACATTAAGGATATGTCAGAAGCAGGATTTGAACTCTAGAATTCCTAACTCCGACTGATCCATTCTCCATTATGAAACAGTTGCCTAGAAGAAAGACACAAGTCTCCTAATACCTTCTACTAGGGGTATGAAGAAGACAAAGATCTTTCTATAAGTACAAATACTAAGACTAAACACAATCAAAGAAATCATACAAACGAATCTCACCCGTAAGAAAAACAAACCAATTATTATTTATTTCAAGATTCAGTCAAAGAGTCTTTATTAAATACTTCTGATCT